GGGAAGGGTGGAGGGGGTGAAGGGAGGGCAAGGGAAGGGGAAAAAAAAAAAAACCAAGATACTCATGTAAAGGTACAAGATCCCAATGATGAATGTAACTGCATTTTATACCGAAAATGTACCAATAAAGTTAATGGGGAAAAACAAAAAGTGGCAGTTAGGTTAGGAGGAGCCGTGAGGCTGGGTGGATCTCAGCTCCACTGGTGTGACAGGCTGCATCTGTGTGGTAAGCTCCCCATGGCAGGAGGTAGTCAGGTGTTAGCTGGACAAAGACATACAGGGCTCCTTCAGGAGTCCAGGTTAGGGTGACTATGGGGGTTTCATAGGCTCCAATATTCTGTGGCTCTCAGATTTTTCTCCCTTTGGTCAAGGCCCTCCTCCTAGGACTTGAATTGGGAAGATAAGCATTTGTTTGGCTCAAGCAGGTCTAAATGCCGCAGGGAGCTGTAGCTAAGGGCTTTGCCTCTGTGGGTAGTTGTGTCCCTCCATGGGTGGGTGCTGTCCAGGGAGGACAGCATAGAGCCTTCTAGCTTTCTGCAGTCCCTGTCCCAGGGGCCCAGTTCCCTCCACAAGTCCTCATTTGCAATCTTCCAAACCACAGCCTGCTGAGAAGCCCAGGGTCACGTGATTTGGGGCCTTCTCATTGTAGGTTTGTTTCTGATGCTGTCACAGGCATGACCATTGTCACCATCTTGTTCTTCTTCCCGTCCCAAAGGCCTTCTTTCAAGTGGTGGCTTGACTTCAAAGGTAAGAGGGTCAAGGCTGGGGCCTGGTTGGGCTCAGTGTGGACAGTGGCATAGTGTGTGGGGGTCAGTGGCCTGGAGCAGCCCCACTGTTCCGACACACGGTCCTGCCTCTCCCTTTGCACTGTCTGAGTGGTTGCCTTGTCTGGGGACCTAGGACTGCCCAAGGTGACAGTGCAGGACTGGCATTAGCAACTATAATCCCTGGGCTGGAGCCAGAGATGTCTGCTTTTTTACAACCCTTGAGCTAAGAATGATTTTGACATTTTCAAATGGTTGAAAAATATTTCCTGACATATGAACATTACATGACATTCAAATGTCAGTGTCCACAAATAGTTTTGCATTTCCCCAAGAAAATTGCAATAATTTATTTTCTTTGGTTATGTAAGTACTGTCATGGTAGCCTCAACTTTGCCACAAAGCCACACACTTTTACTTTCTGTCCCTTTACAGAAAACGGGGGTCGGCCCATCCCCTCACTGAAGGCAAGAACTGTGCTCAGGGGTCTAAGGCCCAGGCAGGCAAAGCAGGCTGGGTTTCACCTGAGTAGGAAGCATGCGTCAAAGGCAGACTCCCTAACAGCAGTCAAATCCTGTTTTGAAAGCCTCTCTGAACCCCCGACCTGCCCTCAGAATGCCCATCCACCACCCCACTGCGTGTCCTGCAGAGGCAGCTCCGGCACGTGCCACCCGGGACAAGCTGAGACAGGCCCCGTGTACACCTGGGGCAGCAGGAGTCAGGGGCTATTACATAACCATGCCCAGTGGTTGAAAGAAATAGAGACTAATGCAGGCTAGTCCCAGCCAGTGTGAGGCCCCCATGGGAGACCAGGAGTTCCAGGGCTCCCTAAGCAGCTGTGTGGGGCTGATCCCTGGGAGGTAGAGGTGAGGCGTCTGCCTTGCAGCTGGCTCTGCTTCCAGTGCCTTGCTTTGTGCACATGTGTGGTTTCTGCTACATATTAGTTCCTGCTTTTCCACAGCTTCCATGTCTCCTCCTTCACTGTTCCCTGTTCCTCCCACGGCCAGCTCCCCAGGACTTCTGCTACATCCACTTCCTCCTGGTGTTGTTTCCTTGGTGCGTTGTTTCCGCTTCTGCAGAACCTCAGCCCACTCCTGCCCCTCCTGCAGCCCACGGACTCCCTGCCTGTTCGAGCTGTCTCCTTTAGTGATCTCTTCTCTTCCCCGGTGGTCTCCATCTCCTAATGATGCACCTGACAGCCACAGTCTGCTTGGTCCAGCTTGTTCCCAGGTGCATGGATCTTCCCCAGAGGCCACCCCATGGCCTCATGGGTCCCAGCCAGCTGTGGTGTGGATGTCATCGCTCAGATGCCCATTCATGGCTCTGTCCCCTGCAGGGAAGCTGGGTGCCCAGAGCAGCCACAGTGATATAGATGCCTGGTACGGCAGCTCTGTTACTCAGTTACCTCTCTTCCCCTCAGCCTGGCTTTCCCACTGAGCAAGGCAAGGATCCCTTTGATGCCTTCCATCTATGGCATTCAGTGGTTTTATAGATCAGGAGTTGCAAACTCAAATGCTTACAGAGGCATTTACCTGCAGCAGGGTGTGGGGAAATGTGTCTCACCAAACACCCAGCCCTCCTCACCCATTTTCCCGTCACATCTTTGTAACAGAGAACATTTCCTGCAGCACAGGTACAAAGCAGCAGCAAAGTGGCAAGACCCTCAGCATCCTGGCCCCACAGGTGTCCACTTAGGGAGCAGGCGTTACTCAGTTGCCACCATTTGTCACTGTGTGGGAAAAAAGAACTCATGTGGTCTAATTTGCTGATTTTTCAAGAGAAGCAAAGATCCGTATTTTTGTATGAAATTTCCCTGATTTTAAATGTTGACAGTTAATTTAAATTGTGAAGCAGACTCATGTCACAGACAGCAGTCGCACTAAAACCCCTGTGTTCGCTGAGTCCGGTGCGTGGGTCTCAGTGTGTCACCTCCACTGAGGCCTGCGCCTGGATGACAGGGAGGAGGGCTCTGTGAGCGCCGTTGAGGGTCGCCCACTTGGCTCAGGTGACGCTTTGTATCCTTCAGACTGTGGAGCCTTACAGAGCCTCCAAACAGCCCGTTTCCATGGAGAGAGCACTAGCTGAATGGAGGCAGGATGTAGAAACAAGGCCACACTGATTTTCCTTTAAGCCCACCCCAGTGCCTTCCACTCTTCTGTGGCCTAAGTCGTCCTTAGATTCCCCATGGTGGTCATTCATCGAGTATCAATCTGTGGCCTACGAGGGCCCAGGCGTGTGCTGCGGTTGCCGTGCCTTTGATGAGGATGAGGATGCTGATGGCGACCATAACTCCCATTTCCTCTCTGCCCAGCCAGCTCTTTGTGCATACATCTGCATGGCTCACTCCACTGCTTCTCTGTCCAGATGCCCCTCCCTGAGAAGCCTTCTCTGAATACGCCACCTGGAAAAGCATCCTTTTGCCATTCTCTGTTGCTTCACCCCATTTTATCACAGCGCATGGAATTTCCCAGCCTTACCTATTATTTCTTACCTGCCTGGCCTAGTGGAGTGTCAGCTGTCCAGGGAAGGGGCTTGTCTCTGTCCAGGGAGTGCTGGGCACAAGGTAGGCACTCAGTATATATTTGCCAAACCAAGGAGCAGGGCTTGCTGTGGGCCAGGCCCCAGGCTAAGCCCTTTGGATACCATGTCCAAGACTCCAAGGGCATGCTGCTCCCCATCTTGCCGATGAGGAAATGAAGGCTCAGAGAGGCAGAGTCCCTGGCTTATGTCACACAGTCAGAGAATGGCAGAGCTGGGATTCAAGTAGAATTCAAAACCTGTTCCTTTAGCCACTGCTGTAGATGTCAGCTGGCCTAGAGTTGAGCCAGAACTAGGAAATTCACCTGGCTCGGGAAACAGTGGCAGGAGCACGCTGGGTGGGAATGACAGGAACAGTGACAGCTGATGCTCAGTGAGTGCTTGGTATGCGGCAGGCAGTGTGATGAGCACTCGCCAGTGAGTCTGCATTGCCTGACACCTGCGGTCAGGGCGCCTCCCTTCCCCTGTCCCAGTATTACGTGCCACGTGGGACAAGTCACTTTACTTGTTCAGACTTCTCCTTTTCAACAAATAGGGTTTCTTAAATCACCCACAGGCAGCGGGATGGACCACTTGCCTTCTCCAGTCCCCTTTTCCAATTCTGAGCTGAACTGAGGGTTGCGTTTGGCCCGAGTCCCTGGGCAGTGTACACCTGCCCCACATATACACACCTGTGGGCTACGTGCAGTGGGCCCTCTGCTAACTTGCCAAGGAAGCTTTTACTCTCTTTATGTCCTGATTATAGCATCTTGTTTCAGGTAAACCACTGAGCTAAATTCGGGTAAAGCTGAAATGTCAGTGGTTACTGAACCGGGAAGTGTCCTGGGAAGTAGACAGCCAGCAGGAAGGAGCCAGACTGTCCCATCTCCCTGGACAAAGCCTGCAGAGAAAGGTCCTGTTTTGGGTCTGCTCTGCACCATGCACTGGGCTAAGCATGTCATAGATGTTACTTGACACGTAACCATGGAGTGACTCTTGGGTGCCACCCACTGTTCCAGACGCTGGGGACGCAGCTGTCAGCTAAGCAGAAACATCTCTTCCAGAGACAGATCCATCTTCACCTCAGCCGTGTTCGTAGGGACCCTCCAGGCACTGTGCCTGTGCCCTACGGGCTGAGGAAAGGACCAGAGAGGCCCACAGCCAGCCATGGCTCCCAAAGGCCTGTCTCCAGGCCATGCTCCAACCAGGGAAGGGATGTAACCTGTGTGCCAAGCCAAGCCCAACCCCGATTTCGTAAATAGTTTTCCCAGAGCACTCCTGGGCCCGCGGTCTTTGTATCGTCCCAGCTTCCTCCAGTGTGCAGTGACAGGGCAGTTGCCTTCCAGACAGTAGGTGTGGCCTCCAAAGGCTGAATCGTCTGCTCTCTAGCCACGAACACAGGAAGTTTACCGATGTCTGCACACACACACACACACACACACACACACACACACACAGCCCTCTAACCACTGCAACACACCATCGCATTTGAGGAAGTTCCATGCCATATATTGAACATTTATGGCTGAAGGACCCTCAGTTTCTATTTTGCTGAATTTCTTTCCTTTTTTCCCCTTCTCTGAACAAATTCAAATACAAAGAAGTCCTTTTCTCTTGCGAGTGAGGATTGAAAATATGAGTTAGCCTGAGGGCCACTGGGAGATTGAAACAATGCCTTGCAAGAGAGCCTGGTACCAGAACACTCCGGATCTGTGGGAGCCGCGACCATCGTTATCATTCTGCATGATGCTTGGTTTCTCTCTAATGCTCCAAAAGCTGGCTCTAGAGCCAGACCTTGGCTTGCTTGGGACCCCTGTGCTTCCCCACAAAACTTAGGCCACAGGGCTCGTGACCCCTTCCCCTGGCCACGTGCCTAAGCAGGTGCTGACTGGGCCTCCCTCCCTCTCTCTCCCTCTCTCCCTCTCCCTCTCTCTCCCTCTCTCCCTCTCTCTCTCTCTCCCTCTCTCTCCCCAGCTCCCAATGTGGAGACCAAGCCCCTGCTGACCTGGCAGAAGGTTCAGGACTCGGTGCCCTGGAACATCATCCTTCTCTTGGGAGGGGGCTTTGCCATGGCCAAAGGCTGTGAGGTAAGTGCTGAGGGACCCTGGGGACTCCAGCTCCAGGGCAGGAACAGAGGTGGCACAGGCCCTGTGGGCACAGCCAGTCTCCACTCTGCCATATTGGGACGATCACACCTGCCACCTGTGGGCCCCCACTCAGCACCAGTGCTGTGGAGAAAGGGGAATGAGGTACCACCAGGACCCTCAGGGTGACTCATGGGCCCCAGGAGAGAGGAGCAATAGCACACTGTGCTGGCTTCTTGCCAGACCCGTCCAATACGCTTCCACGAGGCGTCTCCTGCAGACCTCCCCACACACCTGAGAGGGAGATGGTCCAAACCCAGCCTGGCCCTGAGGCCAGGGGCTGGGAGAGGTGACCTTGCTACCCAAGTACCCAGAGGCCTCTCTGAGCTCAGTGAGGGGTGCATGTGAGAGGCACAGGCTGGCCTGGGGGCTGGGCAGCAGGGCCACGACGCATACCCGGAGGCCGGTCTGGCTGTGTGCCCAACCCTGGCAGCCACTGGGCTTTCTGCTCAACTGGCCTTTGTGTGGTAGCTGCCCCTTTTCCCAGCCTCTGCCAGTATCATCCCATCTGAGGGTGGCCACAGCCCAGCCTTGCAGTGCCCAGAATGTTTATGGGATGTCCAGGTCCCAGGAGCCAGTCCAGGGCCTTTGTTGGACCATAGCAGCCCTCCAGAGGCTTGGAGGTCCAGGGTGGGGTGGGGGGTGGCTGTGTGGGCTCCCCAATGCTAGAAGCATTTCCCAGACCTTACCTGGAACTCCAGCAGCCAAAGGCTTCCCGGTCTGCTCAGAGACAGGGCCACACACAGCCTGGCCCGTGCCTACCACTCTTACATTGGTACCTTTCTCTCCCACTTCTTACTCCCCTCTACTCCACTGGCCCCTGCCATTCCTCACTCAGGCACATCAGACTCTTGCACCCCAGGACCTTTGCACCTGCCTTTCTATGTCAAATATTCTCCCTGAGGTCTCTGAGTCCTCTTCAGTTCTCAGCTCCTCAGAGATGGGATCCCTGACCACCATCTAGAGTAGTGCCCATCCCCAGCCCCTCGCCCTCTCACCACTCTGCTTATTTCGTTTATACCATATTTGCCGCCATGATCCTGTCCATTTTCATGTTTATGGGTGGTCTCTCCTTGGAGAAGGCAAGCTCCCTAAGGACCGGGACCGTATCTGTCCCATCCACCACGGGTCCAGCCATCAAGAGATCCGAAGGGTCCCAGTACTGCATGGTGCTCAAGAAGTATTTGTCGATGTGACCTATACCATGGGGTAGTTTGAAGCAGACAAGACAATAGAGTGAGAATACCCAGAAGAGAGCCAGGAGTGCCCTGCCTTGTCGCTGTCATTGCTGTTAATATGCTGCCATCTGGGGATGAAAATGTGGTCTTGTTCTGATGCCTTCATATATAAAAAAATCACTGCAATGAACTTCAAATATTTTGAAGTTATAGAATCTTGCTATTAAGCCACCATAGCAAACCCTATAGGCATGTAAAAATGCCTCTTGCTTTCTGCTAGAAATCGCAGTCACCTTTATTATTATTGTCATAATTATCATAAGATCCAGATTCTGACCTCAAAATCACTAGGACAAATCCCTTCTCTCATTTGGGCAGATCACTTAGCCTTTTTGTGCCTCAGTTTCTTCAATTGTAAAATGGGGATAATTATATTATCTACTTGATGGGGTTGTTATAAAAATTAAATAAGTTAATATGAACAAAGCACAGTAAAACCTTGGTTGGCAAGCATAATTCATTCTGGAAACATGCTTGTAATACGAAGCACTTGTTTATCAAAGTGAATTTCCCCATAGGAAATAATGGAAACTCAGATGCTTTGTTCCACAATCCAAAAATATTCATACAAAAATGATTCCAATACTGTAGTACACTACAAAGTAACAAAGAAGGTACAAAATATACAGAAAAATAAGCAAATTAACCTGCACTCACCTTTGAACCTTCGTGGCTGGTGTGAGGAAGACGAGAGAGGAGGGTTATTGTGTAGGATGACTTTCACTCACTAACGGAATCACTGCTGTCTATTGGTTCAGTGGAGCATTTCTTTTCGTGCAGCTTGAACAAGGAACCTGTCCAATGACACTTGCTTTTGCCTCCTTTGGAATATTTCGTGAAAATGCAGCACTGCACTGTTGTGAAACAGATTCGTTCTTCTCACTGCTACAGCCTTATTCGGGTGGTACCTTTCTACAAAATTTTGCACTTTCCCCCCACATTTTACACATCTCCCTAATCTCATGTGAAATGAAGGATTCCTCTCCCTTTTTCTCCTCCTCCTCTGCAGACAAGATCTCCTCCATAACCTCTTGCTGTAAGGATCACCCACAATCCTGGGGAGAGAGGAGCATCAGCTAGAAGTGTTTGCTAGTCTTACAGAGCACTCACAGAACAAGTTACTTCCAATCCAAGGTTTTACTGTACTTAGAAGAGTACCCAGCACTGAGTAAGAACTAAATTAAGTGTTTGTACATTAAATAAATAACAAGTTATATATTATGTTTACTATGTACTGGGACCATTTTTACATGTACTTATTTAAACCTTACCACAATCATTTAAAGAACTCAAGGAACGGAGAGGTTAAATAATTTGCCCAAGATTATGCATCTTGCCAGTGCTGCAAAGGTCTGAATGTTCACACCTATGCATAAAACCTTTGCTTTTTTTTTTTTCCTTCCTTTAATCCAGTCTGCTGGTCTTTCCGCCTAAGGATTATTACAGAGTTGCATACAGCCTGTCAAAGCCACTGTTTTATGAGCCTTTTAAGAGATCTTCAAGGACCCCCAGGGGATTCTGATTGTGATCATTAAACCTTAACATCCCCGTTATAAGACGCACTCTGCTATATAGAAAAGTGATCAGGAAAGGAGGGGGATGGAGGGATCATCGTGGCAGCCTGGGCTCCCTCCCTCCCATCCTGCACGGTGGTCCCAGGTCCTCTGGGTCACCTTTGGGGTCCCTATGGAACACAGTCTGACAGCCATTGCATTGGGTGACTTCTGAGCTTCACCACTTCTGGCATCTCATGACTTGATGCCACCAAGAAGCGCAGCTAGCACATGTAGGGGCATCAACCAGGTGCTTGGTGCCTTTTCTTGGTGCTTTACTGATCAGTTCCTTTTCTCCTGACAATGATCCTCTGGGCCTTGCATTATTATCCTGGCTTTACAAACAAAAGAATGGCAGCCCAGAGAGGTTAAGTTGCTTGCCCAGGATGGCAGCTGGAAGAGATTATGCTGGGGTGCACGTGAAGCCTGACTCCAGAGCCTTTCCTCCTCACCCTCTGGCCCTACTGCCTCCGACCTTGGCTACTGCTCGTCCCTGGTGTCCCTGGGAACCCGTGGGGGGACTGTGTTTCCAAGGAAATGGAGCTTCTGATTCCTAAGGGAGCGAGAAAGTCCCCTAAGTGCCCAGAACAGAACCCCAGCCGGCTGGAGGCTTTCCTCCCTCATGAAGCTGCCAGACTTCCTCACAGGGAGGAAGCCAAGCCAGGACCCAAGTGGCTGAGGGACATCGGGATGTCGGCAGGAAGCCCAGCACTGAGAGGCCCAGCTCAGGGAAACTCTTGGCATCCCACTCACCCAAGTCATTAGCATTCCCTTCAGCAGCCCCTCCCCCATTTAATTGCACGCCCTGCTGCTGGTCTCCATGCCACAGCCGTAGCCCATGGAAAGAGCCACTGGCCCCATTTCTTCCTTGTAGTATTCCCGGCCAGGGCAGGGCTGTGCCAGGCTGCCCAACAGTGCAGGCACACAACAAACACCATCAGCCTGCCAGGACTTCTCTGGGGTGAAATATTTTTAAGCATTTATAATTTGTGCCTTGAAGGCAATTTTAAATCAAACTGTAGGGGGGAATGTATTATTTTACTTACGTAAAAATCATATGCTTACTCTAGAATCCATTGTGAAATTTTAACTTCTAAAAAACAGTAAATGTTCTATTACCCATAAAAGAAAAATGTATTAAGTTTCTTTGGTAAAACAACTTATGTTGAGCCGGGGATTTAGCTCAGTGGTTCCAGCGCCTGCCTCACAAGCTCAAGGTCCCGAGTTCGATCCCCGGTACCAAAAAAGAAAAAAAACAAACCTAAAACTTATGTTGGTGCCAGCGGGAACTAGGTTGGTAAAAGGACTGTAGGACTGTGGTAGGAATACATTTGATTGTCAGTGTTAAGAGACTAATCCGACTCTGCCCTTGCTCAGTTCCTAAACCTGCAGCTCTCTGTTCTTTCTTGTTGTTGTTTTCCAGTACTGAGGATTGAACCCAGGGCCTTCACAGTAAGCTACACTCCCAACCTTTTTTAATTTTTATTTTCAGACAGGGTCTCTCTAAATTATGCTAAGTTGCCAAAGCTGGGCTCGAACTTGTGACGCACCTGCCTCAGCCTCCCAGAGTGCTGGAATTACAGGCATCCGTCCATCACCGCACCCTGCAGCTGTTATTTTTGTGGGAAGATTAACTTTAGAACCTGTCCTTGCAGTTTTATTGCGGTCTTGCCACATGGCGCCACCAGGGGGCAGCATCGAGGATGGTTTGACCTCGCAGCGTTGTGGTCATTGTGCGAATGTGCTGGATCTGGGTTATTCCGGCATACCTTTGATGGCAGGAGGGCCGAGGTGGGGTATTATGTATTACTGGTAACTAGGGTAATTCCTGAGAAGTCAGCAGAGAGAGGACCCCAATTATTCTGCAGCATTGCTGCGCGTGGATTCAAGCAAGCCCACCCTGTGCCTCCCTGCCCTAGTTATTCATCCTGTCCCTGGCCTAGAGAGCTGTGGTCAGCTCTGGACATTGCTCTTCATTAAGAGGCAAAGTGGCTGGGCAACAGTGAGGCAGACCTGTGAGCCCAACCACTCGGGAGGCAGAGGATGGAGGCAGATGGCAAGTTCGAGCCCAGTGTGGACAACTTAGTGAGACCTTGTCTCAAAATAAAACTCTAAAAAAGAGTTGGGGATGTAGCTCAGTAGTAGAACATTTGCTTAGCATACATGAAGGCCTGCGTTTCAGCCCCAAGTACTACACACAAAATGCCGAGGAGAAAGAGAGAGAGAGTGGCAAAGTGACAGACCAGTGAGTCCAGAGGGAGACGCCGAGCACTTGGTGCTTTGCAGAGGTGGAGGTGTAGCTCAGCCACTACTCTGGGGCCCTGGGCAAGTCACACAACCTTCTGCTCCTCACTAAAACAAGGACAATAATATTCACCCTACAGGTTGGTTAGGAGGACCCAACAGGGAACGCAGTAGAGTCTGGCAAGTCTGTGACAAGGAATGATAATGCAATGTTGATGTTAATGTTTGCATTCTTATCATTGTGATCAGTATCCTTATTGGTAATCACATTGATTGTGTTGCATTTGATATATATATATATATCTGATACATGCTGCATTTTATATATGATATATAGGGATGTTGCATAAACAATATGTTTTGTGCATATTAATGTTATATAATAATGAATATTTTACATGTTACTATTTGGTTAATTAATAAACACCATTGGAGGAATTAAGATTTACTACGAAGCGTCTCATTCCCCTCTCCGATTCAAGGTGGAGCTTCATGGTGCTAGGACCAAATGGAAATGGAGCTTCTGATTCTAACCTAATGGATTATCAGGGGCCCGGGGGTTTGGGGCATAGAGCAGGGAGGGGAATTCGAGGAGCAGAGAGGCTACTGACTCAGTTGGGTGACACTGGATGCATCCTAGCCCTGGGCAGCTGGGTCCCCCATCTGGGAAGGGTAGCACTGTCCTTGTTGGGATGCACCCCCGTCCTCTCCCTGGCTCAGTGCTGGGTGTGATGGCCGCCCCTGCCCCGCAGGAATCAGGGCTCTCGGTGTGGATCGGGGGGCAGCTGCACCCGCTGGAGAATGTGCCCCCCATCCTGGCAGTGCTGCTCATCACCATCGTCATCGCCTTCTTCACGGAGTTTGCCAGCAACACGGCCACCATCATCATCTTCCTGCCGGTCCTCGCGGAGCTGGTGAGGGTCCTTCTGGGGGGTGGGGGACCCCTCAAGGTGGGTGCATCCTCAGGGACTGTAGTTGCCATCCCTGTCTTCCCAAATGCATGAAAGTGTCAGAACCACCGTGCCATTTCTTAAACAATAGGAACATTTTTCTTCTAGAAATGCATACACAGAATATTTTCAAAGTGCAGCACCTTCCCTCATTAACCCATAGGGACATGGAGAGTTTTCTGGAAAGACAGAAGTAACCAAATTTGGATTAAGTAAAAAGCATGGGTTGACAAATAGCCACCCTAATGCAGGGGAAGCTTACCTTCCCTGCCAAGCAGGGGTCACGGCACTGTTGACGGTATGGGTCAGAGAGCGCTGTAAATCGTGACAACCCAGAATGTCTCCCGACATTGCCAAGTGTTGCTTGGGGGGACAAGTCACACGGGGTTGAGAACGCTTGTTCTAAAAACTACCAGCCCTGGATGGTCTCATCAGGGAGGGCCTGAGCTGATTCATCCAGAACCCTTTTTGCTGGCTGAGAAAGCCCTACAACCCTTGTGTGAGATCTGCAAACCTGACACCAAATCCAGAGCAAAGGAGGAAAAGCAATACAGACTCCCCTGTAAATGAAGATGCAGATACTGTAGCAAAATGAAAGGAAGATACATCACAATCAGGTAGATTTTAAACTGGGAATTTTCAAAAGGATTAACATTAGAAAACTATCAATACAATTTTATATTTAAACAGGTTAAAGAAGACCAAACCATACGATTATCTTTCATTTTTATTTTTTATTGTTTAAGATATTTTCTCGGGTACCGGGGATCGAACTCAGTACCTTGTGCTTGCCAGGCAGGTGTGGTGCCACTGAGCTACATCCCTGGCTCCATTTGATTATCTTACTATAACCCAAAGCTCATAAAATTAAACCACTGTTGCAAGTACATGTGCTTGGTACACAATCAGCAATGCAGCAACTCACTGATCTGCACCCTTTGTTTATGGGTTTTGGTTTGCTTATTACGTGCATCAATTTGCAGTGGAGAGCATGCTGTATCAGCCCCCAGAGACACACTGTATACTTTTTTAATGACTGGCAAATATTCCATTATAATTCAACAGTTGTAGATTTATTTAAGCAATCTCCTACTAGTAGACATACAGGTATTTCCAGATTGTTACCTAACCATCCCATCTTGACCTTGTCTCGACTATGCATCCTTGATTAAATCTAAAGAAATTCCTATAACAGAATCCTAGATTAAAGAGCACGTGCATTTAAATGTTGTTAGATATGAGCAAATTACACCCCAAAGTGGCTCCCCAATTTACTCTCCCACAGCTGTGTGGAGTGGAAGTCTTCACACCCTTGCTAAGTGTGACTGGGTTTAATCAATCAAATCTGGGGGACCAGGCAATAAAGAGAAATGGAAGGGCAACATTTTCTACAAAAGACACTTGTGAAAGACACATTCTTCTCAGTTTTGCTTCTCATCAAAATCAAAACATTAACACACGAGGGGGAGATGTGGGAGCCTTTTGAGAAATGCGTATGCTTTGGGTTGCACAAACTCCCTGGAGGAGCCTAAAGTGTTCTGTCTCAAGTAAAACACTAGAGAGATGATCAGCATGAATTGCAGGTGAACATAGCGCTTGGGAGAGAGAAGAAAGGGTGGCCCACTGCCTGAGACCAGCCCGTAGACACTATGACTGCCTGGGTTTGGAAGTGGGGAAATACTTGACAGCGTTGCTGGCCTGAGCGCTCCTGTCTCTGAAACCCAGCCCCTGGGATGGTCTGGCTGAGGGAGGGGAGCTGTCACCTTAGAGTCCTGGTTCTCAGTGTGTGGCCCTGGATGCCCCCAGATGCAGCATCCCCTGGGGAACTTGGGGAAAAGCAAAGTCATGGGTCCCACTCAGACCTATAGGAGGACCAGCTAGTCTTGGGGAGGTGAGGGCACCCATCAGGGTTTTCAGGGGTGCGCTGGGTGATTCTGAAACATACGCACTTGAGAAGGAAGGCTCTGGATAATTCGCCCCAGTCCATCCCTAATGAAGCCGCAGTGTGGTCCTGCAATGTCACTGACTTTTGGAATGTCTCTCCGTCTCTCTGCCTGGGTCTCTGCTGGTGGCTTCTCTCTTTGTATTTCTGGCTCTGCGTCTGTCTCTCTCTTTCTCTCTCTCCCTCCCTCTCTCTCCCTCCCCCCCCCCCCGGTCCCCTGTGTCTATCTGTGTCTTGTCCCCGCCGCCTGGCCAGGCCATTCGCCTGAGGGTGCACCCGCTGTATCTGATGATCCCAGGCACAGTCGGCTGCTCCTACGCCTTCATGCTGCCAGTCTCCACGCCCCCCAATTCCATCGCCTTTGCTTCTGGGGACTTGCTCGTCAAAGACATGGTGAGTCTGGGCATCTCTACCAGCGGCCTGGGAAGGTGGAGGCACCAACAGGACCCTGACCTCCCCAACCCACCCCAGCCTCTGAACAGGTTATTCTGAGTGGGGCTAGGAACTTAAATGACAGCAAACACGGGGGTCATCCTCACACTTAGACTGTTACCAGAAGCACCGCCTGGTAATGACTTTGATGGTTGCCTTCAGGGACAAGGGACTCGCCACTCTCTCTCTGGGCACTGCTCTGTTTTCCTGCTTGTTTGCCCAGAATCTTTAGGAGGCAGGGGAAGCAGATGCACCCAGGGATTTAGAGATTTGAGGACCCAGCCACTGGCAGCATGTTCTGCTCCCCTAGTGAGGCTCCCTGCTGAGGCAACTCTTCCTTCCCTTCTCCTGCCCCTGCGGCCACTTCCCTCTCCAGTATCCTGAGCTGACAACAGCCCAGAAGTGCCATCTGCCTAACCAGGCACAAGACCCCAGCAAGATAAATGGCTAAAGAGCGAGAAAGAGCGAGGAGAGGCAGGAGATACACAGGAGACAGCAGTGGACCCTGACCATTCATTGTTTGCTCTGCATGCACTTCGTGCTCTGGCCACCAGGGGCAGCAGAGCTAGCTCCAGGGAGGGCGTTGTTACAGATAAGGCAGACAAGCTCCGTGCAGGTTTTTATAACGATGTAGATTTCAGTACTGCTAAGTACTAGGAAGGAAATAAAACACGGGGCAAGGGGGAGAGAAAGAGGATGATGGGGGTCAGCTTAGATGAGTGAGCAGGGACAGACTTTCCCAGGAGGGGACATATGAGCTGAAAACTGATGTGGGAAGCAGCCAGCATGGAAGAACTGACCCAGCAGAGGGGCACAGGCCTGGGGTAGAGAACAGCTCTGGGTGCTAGGACTGTGGTAGAGTGGGAGAGGATGGAGCTGCAGACCTGGGGGTGTGGAGGGAGACAGAGAGCAGGGCACGGACCTGGGAAACTGTTCAAACACCAGTGGGAGGCCCTGATGGGGCTGTAAGCAGAGCTGGGTGTGCTTTGACTTCTGCCTTTAGAGGATCACTTTGGCTGCCCAGTGGGGCGGGGGTTGTTAGGGCAGGAGGGACAAGTGTGGCAGCCGAGAGGCCACTTACAGAGGAGACAGTGAGGGCCAAGCCAGCACACAGCTCAGATTTGAAGAGCAAAGAGACAGCGAGAGAGATGAGAGACCCCAGGAGCTAGAGACTACAGTCCAGGAGATGGAGAAGGCGCCAGTCTGTGGCCCACCTGCAGGGTTTGCTCCCGAGCGTAACGCTGCGGGCCCAGCAGAAATTATAGCCAGGCTCCCAGACCCCAGCTTGGGCTCCTCTCTCCCACAAAGTGCCAGGGGCTTTTGGGCCGTCTGGAACGGGGCAGCAGAGCATAGCACCTGTGGCCTTACACTGGGCCTCCGGTCTCACCACGGGTGCCCTTCCCGTGAACCATCGCGTTTATTCAACAACTTTGCTAAGTTGACCTCACGTGTTTTATAAGACTTAAATAAGAATATTTAAAAGCAAAAGTTTCCCGTGCATGCGTACATGTAAAACCCATAGAACATGCACAGAAATAAAAAATAAATAAATAAATAAGTTAGGTTTTCCCTGATAGCACCTGCCTGGAAAGGTGCCAAGCTTTTCTCTCCTTGTGAAGGGCAGCGGGAAGGCAGTGAGAAGGCTGAGGCATGAGGGTACCAGGGGAGACTTTCTGGGCAGGCTCGAGAGAGCTCTGGAAGGGGAAGCCTTCCTCACCATGGAGCCAAGTCTGGGGAACGCTAAGCGGAAGCAACCAGGAAAACAGGTTTTAGCCTGGGTGGACTGAACAGTACAAGAGACCAACCAGGGGAGGGAGCACATGGGCGAGTGCTTTCCAGCTGCTTACAGAGGTAACATTCCCAGAAGGAAATTCTTCCTGATAGACAAGTATAGCCTTAACTGGACCTGCAGAGGGTGTGTGTGTACATGTGTGTGTGGTATCTACGTATATGTGTAATACATCGCGGGTGCCTATGTGGAGTGGAGGGTGCTAAGTGATCCATTCCAGGTGGTTGACTTGGGCAAAACAATTTCTCTGGGCCTCATTTTCCTCTTCCATAAAAGGGAGATGGACAATGACCTTCAGATGGTTGCTCTCGTGGTTAAATGATGCGACACTGTGACAATTGCATGGGGTGGTGCTGCCACCAACACTCAGGGAGCAGGGACGCTTGCAGCTCCCTGAGGGACAGCCTCGGCGGGGTGAAGATGGAAAGGTCTTGGGCACTGACCGACCTGGGCTTGCGGCCTGGCCCATCACTCCCCAGCTGTTGGCTTTCCAGAGAATGACCTTCTGCCTTTGAGCCTCAGTTTCCCCATCGGTGCGCAGTGCCGAGCCCACTCAGTCTGAGCTCTGTTGCAGGTACGGACTGGCTTCCTGATGAACGTGTTGGGCGTCCTGCTGCTCAGCGTGGCCATGAATACCTGGGCGCAGAGCATCTTCCAGCTGGGCACCTTCCCAGACTGGGCCAACGTCCACGCGGGCAATGTCACAGCACCACCGCCCCCCTTGACGAACAACACGCTTCACAACCTCTGATGCACGAAAGGCCAGGAGGACTCCCTTTGGGCTGGGCAGGTATCCAGCAGCGCCATACTTGCTGCTAGGACCCTGAGGATGATCAAACTGTTCCTTTCTGTGATCCAGTACGCAGCAAGCGTGGAAACCTCCAGTGTCCACTTAGGCCAGCAGGCTCTTGGCTAGGACACCTTCTCTTTCTCTCTCATGCTGTTCAAGGCCAGTTCTCTCCCAGATCTGCTGCCTCATCAAGCTCCCATGACCTGTCCTGTGCTTAGGGTGCCAGAGTCCAGTTTAGCTGCATAGCAAGCCTGGGATGGTGCTTGACTCGTACACCCGGGATGGAAGCTGTGTCCACCCCCATGGGCACAGCTAACTTTCTTCCCCATGGACTACTTTAAGGCTCTCTGGAGAGACCATCTGGGCTCTCAGGACCGCTTTGCCTACAGAGACTTTGGGGCCGGAAAGTTCCAGGCCAGATGTTGAAGCTGATCCCGACTTGGGTGGGCTCTGCTTGGCTGCTGCCCGCTCTGCACCAGCTGTTTGGCTGTTACCCCTGCGGATACCCAGCAGCCAGGGATTGCTCCCAGCTCCTGGAGACAGAGGGAGGGACAGATGGCTTCCTGAGGATATGGGGACTGCAAAGCCGCCACACCGATCTCCCAAGCACGCTGGGGGAGTTTGAGACTCCCCTGCTGACATCGCTGCCCAGAGCCCCAGCCGTTCCCTCTTCGATCTCACTCAGCTCAGCCATTAGTCTGAGGTCAGGCCAATTCTGGCCCCGATCCTTTCACAGGTGACCCAGGCCCTCCCACCAGGCCCCTCCTGCATTGGCCCTTGGGGCCGTCTGTGGCGGAGTCACCTCTAGTTTTCTTGTCCCAGCTGCTGGTCCCCATCTTGCCCCAATAGTAAGCGTGTTTAATTCCCAAAGGTCACATTTTCAGGGGTGAAAGAAAAGTCAAAGGATAACTTGGGCCTTGTAGAAGTCCACAGTAAAACGTCTCAAGCAGACAGCATATTGCAGTCCCCTTCCAGGGACGGGGAAACTGAGACAGTCCCGCCACCCCGTGGCTGAAGCAGGGAAGGTCCCAGGGGACTCCAGCACTCCTAGTTTCCCAGAGGCAGCCCGAAGCCCCGCGCCTGCGCAGTGTGGGGCTCTGGTGCGCGGGAAGCTTCTGGTTGAGAGCCCCGCAGCCCAGTGACAGAAAAGACCAGTGAGGTCCCATTTCCCCAACCTGCACCCTAGAGACGTAGGCTCCCTGAGGAGCACCCAGCTCACACCCAGCACCAGTAAGTCAGGGAGCTTCGGAGACCCCTGAGCTGGAGGCCAAGCCCACCTCCTTCCCCGGAGAGCAACCAGTACTTAATCAGTCAGCCCACCTGGGTTGGGGGGAGTGGCTCTCCTGTGGAACAGGGACAGGGACAGGGAGGGAGTGGCTCACGTGAAAAGAAACTCCAGGACTTGTGAGCAGAGGGTTCATGATTCAAATACTCTGATCAAAAATGCTATGAAATAAAGAATGTCAATCAACACTGGAACTGGAGACTCTGTCTTTCTAAGCATAAGAGACCTCAGAGCCCCAAATGCCTGGGCTCCCAGCTGTGTCTCCTCTGCTCTCTCCTCCACATACTCATGCTCTTCTACCTCAGGGCCTTTGCACATGCAGTTCCTTCTTCCTGGAATACTCTGCTTCCAAACATAGGCCAGACTCCCACTCTCACTTTGTTCAAGTTCCTGCTTAGATGTCACCTGCCTAGGGACACTTTCCTAACCATCTTTATAAAGTATTGTCCTTGTTACTCTCTGCCTTTCCTTGTCTTGGCACTTAGGACCCTGTGTCATGTATCTTCTTATCAGCTTTCTGTCCTTCTGGCACATAGACTTAGAAATACACAGACTGTTTCATTCCCAGCTGTAACTCCGTTACCTGGACCAGTCTCTAGCACACAGCAAGTGTTCAGGATGTATTTGATATATGAATCTACCCCAGATATAGGCGAAAGCAGGCTTGCCTGCCGTTCTGGGGTCTGTCTGGTTCATTTATTTGTTACCTCTTTCTCCCATTTGTTCAGTCAACAAACCTTTACTCAGAAGCCAGGTTGTGCTGGTTCCGGTCCCCTCCCTACCTGGCGGAGGAGACAGGCAGTAGGAAGGCAAACCGATACAGTGACTCTGAGTCATGGTTCAGGCTAAGAAGAAGATGATGGACTGACTCAGTGGCCAGGAACTCAGACAGGACTTCTCAGAGGAGGCAGCAGGGGCTGAGCCCTGGAGGAGTCAGCGACTCTCAGGGCTGTGTGGAAGGAGGGGAGGGAGGGCGGAGCCCGTGGGGAGGAGCTCCAGGCAGGGAGGTAGGTTCAGTCCACTAGGTTCTCACAGCTAGGCCTTTGCTGGATTTGGGGCTCCCTGTTTTTCTAGGAAATGCCCTGCTCCTCCCAGGACTGCTCCTGCTGGCTGCTCCTGCATGAAAGGGCTTTGCTATTCTTGGCCAGAGCAATCTGTGGGCTGAGGGTGGGCACCATTACCATGCACTGGTGGTGGCACGGGAGGAAGAGGGTGGAAGGGGTGGTGCCAGGTCATTGGAAATGTGCTGCAGGTTTATCTGGAAACTACAGGAAGCGCCAGGGCTCAGAAAGGATGCAACCACATAAAACGAAGATCTTGTTTTTGTTTTCTGTGACTGCAGAACCAACCACCCCCAAATTTCAGGCTTGAAACAGATTCATTAGCTGTTGCTTCTCCTCCGGAAAGGGGTGACTGAGTCCTGGCCCTAGGTGGTATGGTCAGGGCCACTGGCTGAGGCTGGAGTGTCCACCGCTCCCCAGGGTCCCTCTTCAGGTGGCTTCACCAGGACCTAGCCCTGCCCTCTGTGTGTGACTGTGGATTTCAAGGAGGAGGAGAAAATCCGAGGCCCGGGGGCCTGGATGCGGAGGTCTCTGAGGTGCACTCCACCCATGGTGGGAGAGCAGTGTCCGAGCTGGGGGCACCTTTGGAAGCCATCACCCTTCGCTCTTAAGAGTGTGTGAGAGATCTCAGATGTTACCCTGAAAAGGGGGTGTGAATGGCTGAAGCCTTATGAAGAGATGCCTGGACCTACATACCTGTGATCAGAGATATCCAAATTAAGATTCAGCCACAGGTCAATGATATCTACAAAAACTAGACAGCCAGACCAGGGGTGGGGAAGCCAACCCTTGGGTTGTGTTGGTGACACTTGCCGGTGGCAGTCTGCCCAGTGAGGAGGCTGGCACTGACCAAGGGAATGTGTTATGTGTCTCCCCCAGTGGCCCAATGATGTGATCCTGGGGTTCTGTCCCAGCCAATCATCCCATGGGTCCCTACGGAGACAATGCAGAACATCCATGCCACTACTGTTGGAGGTGCTAAAGAGCTGGAGGCTACCTCAGTGGCCATAACGGGGGGAATTTTTAAATGAAATCTAGGAGACACACACTACGGAAAACATGGCACATGGGCACAAAGAACTCAGGCACCCAGAACAGTAGATCGGATACGTGGACATCCTGCTATTCGGGCCCAACCCAGATTCAGAGTCACGTGGGCAAAGGAGCAGAAGCTGGGACGCGAAGTGAATGAAAGTTATTAAACCAGGAGGTCAGAATGCCACTTTGGACCCTGGCTCTTTCCCTACTGTGCTGTGGAACCTTGAGTGCTGTGTGCCCTCTACTGCTTGGGTCTGTAGTTTCCCCCTCTGATAAATGAGGGCACATAGGGTCCCAACAGGAAATAGAAAGCATACACACTGCTAATTTGAGGTAAGTTTGTGGAGGGTCTAATTCCAAGGTGCGAGCACAGCATAGGATGAGCACAGGGAAAATGCAGAACCCTGGCATGTGGAGGAGGTGATGGAGGCACAGACCACCTCCCCACCCCAGGCCTTGGAGGAGACAGTCATTGACAGGAGGGGGCCCAGGGACACATGGAGCCCAGGAGGGCTCTGCAGGGAGGGAGCTGCCTCCCTCAGCCCTCCCATTCAGCCCTCCCACAAGCGGAGTTGAGCTTCTCCAGAACAATATGATGAATGTGTGTGTACAGCAATCCCACCTTATCTTCAGAGGATGCATTTCAGGAGCCCCAGTGCATGCCTGAAACCTCGAATTGCACCAAACTCACTATGAGTATGTGTTTTTCCTATATGTTCATGCTTGTGATGAAGTTTAATCTATACACTACACACAGTAAGAGATTAAAAAAATCAACTATTAACAATATAATAAAAGTTGTTTAAATCTTATGATTTTCTTTTTGTTGGTACTGGGGGATCGAACTCAGGTCCTTGCGCTTGCGTGGTGAAACCACTGAGCTAAATCCCTGGCCCCTTACCAATTATTTCTAAAAAATTTTTCATGTGATATTTTTGAACTGCGGTTGACCGTCGTTTATCACTCAGTCTTTCATCATTGTAACAAGATGGTGAAGACAGTCCATTTAAAAAGAGGAAAGGTTTGCTTAGGCTCATAGTTTTGAAGGTTTCAGTAGACCGTCAACCTTTACACCAGGGCAGAAGCATCTGGCAGAGGAGGCTGTTCACCTTATGGCAGCCAGGAACCAAAGAGAGAAAGAAGAGGACGAGCTGGGGCCCCAGTCTTCCCTTCCAGGGCCCCCAGGTAGCCTAACTTCCTCCTGCTAGGCCCCTGCAAGGTTCCACCACTTCCCAGTAGTGCCACAGACTGATGAGCAGGCCTTCAACCATGGGCCCTTGGAGGACACTTTTCAACCCATAGCACATGGGTAACTGAAATGGGGGAAAGTGGAAGTGCAGATAAGGGAGGATGGAGAGAGAGAGAGAGAGGGAGAGAGGGAGAGAGGGAGGGATTGGCTCAGTGTGGAGTCTGGGGGAGCCCACACTGGTGGGGATGCTGGCAGGCTGAGACTTGAGAAGCAGCGGCAGCTGGCACCTGAAGGCTGCCCACTGCAGGATTCCCCACTCCTAGATCAGTCTTGTGCTGATCGGGTGAGATCCTCCCCATTCTGGAGGACAATCCACTTTACTCAAAGTCCATTGATTGCAGCATTAATCCACCCTCACAGAAACATCCAGAATCACACTGGCCCAAATAGCCAGCACCGTGGTCCAGCAGCCACTGACACCTAACACAAGCTGGAGTACAGCGAGCCTTGGAGACAGCCCAGCCAGTTCCAGCCCTGTGCCCCGGGCCAGGGAGGAGTAGGGAGCAGGTCCAGAAAAACAAGCCACACGAAGGTGCCTCGGGGTGTAGACCCTACTGAAGCTTGCCATCTGGTCGTGCCCAGCTCTGCCTCCACCCCTTAGCCAGCCTTTTACTGCCCCTCCATCAGTGAGTTTAAGTAATTAATTGGCTGCTAATCTTTACAGTTCAGAAAGTTTCACTTAAGAAGCTGGATCTCCATTTCTGGAAGAGAAAATGCAACAAGAACCTAGTAATATGGGGTCCTCATTGCCAGTCAGCAATGACTGCTTGGAGCTGAGTAGTCGGGCGGGGCGGATAAATTGGACCAGGAGGTTTCTTCTTGCCACAGCCCCCACCCCACCTTATTATCTTACACTGCCTCTCTTCTTCCACTGCCACCTTCCTGGCCTGTGAGGGCATTTGAACCTAAGACTCCTAAACTACATGATCAGGAAGGTCCAGTGGCATGGGTGGCCACTGGTTCTACCACCCTTGAGTGCTGCCCAGCAGAACTTGTGGTGATGATCGAACTGGTCCACACCTGCATTGTCCAACTCCATAGCCACCTGTGATGCGTGGCTACTGAACGCTTGTACCTGGTCCAAACTGAGATGCAACATGGGTATAAAACACATGCCAGGTTTTCAAATCATAGTGTGAGAAAATAAAAGTAAAATAGCCTCTACTAATAATTTATATTGTTTCCATGTTGAAAGGTTAATCTTTTGGATGTAATAGGTTGAATGAAATATTTTACTAAAAGTAATTTTAGGTTTGTTCTTTTTTTGGTGGGGATTGAACTTGGGTTCTTGTGCTTGCTCAGCAGGTGGTGAAACCACTGAGCTAAATCCCCGGCCCTGTAATTTTAGTTTTATGTGTTTATTAGAAAACAATATTTTGTGGCCCCCCTCGGCAGCTCCCAATCTTTTCCTCTCAGACATCTTCAGACACCTGTCTGAATGCTCATCTTTTAGTCACCTCACTGCAGTCTCCAAATGTCAGGACAGTGGCCACGTTCTCTACCCACAGGCTGAAAACTCACTGACACTACTCTTCCATGGCCTCTGATTCTGATTCCCGATCCCAGACTGCATGCCCCCAGGGGTGGCCTGAGAGCTCACCACTTCCCCTTCTGTCTTAAGGCTCTGAATCCTTCGTCCAGAAATTCCCCTGAACACAGCTGGCTCTGTGTTGACTCAGAAGTCCTCTCCGGATGTTGTGGGCCTTGAGGTCAGGCCAGCCTTATATGGGCAGAGGTAACTGCCTACATATGGCAAGAAAAGCTAAAAATATCTTCCACTCTTTCCCTCCCCATGCCTCTATGCTTCCAAATCTTACAAATCCACCAGAGGCCTCATGGAAGTGACCTTCATGGTTTTTCACCAGTCAGCTCCCTGCTGCCCATCAGAAACTGGGCAGATGCTGGCAGTGCCTTCTGGCCCAGGGCAATGCCTTGACATTGCACAATGCCTGTGCAACAGGACCCAGGCCGTGGGGTGCTTGGGGGGATTGCAGAGGCCTGGACAAGCGGGTCCCAGCAGCCTGGGACTCACACCAGCCAGCCCGGCTGGAAACCAGGTGGGAGGAAGCAGGACAAGAGCTTTTCTCCACTGCTTACTGAATTCTCTGTCCACACTATCTCACTATCAAATAACCCTACTGTGTAGCTACTATGTTCTACTTGCCATAGCAGGGATGTACAAGCTCAGAGAGGGGCAGTGTCTTGCCCAAGGGCACACAGCACAGTGATTGATACACCTCCATCCCCCTTCAGGGGAAGAGCTCTGTAGCTTCTTGCAGCCAAACAGCTGGATGGCAGCAGACTGGTCCGAGGCCTCCTGCAGAGGTCACAGATTGGTGGCCCTTGTGCCGGTTTTGACCACCAGACCTGTTAAGATGGGTCAATGAAGTTGTCTCTATTTTTTTTTAAGACTGGATTTAAAAACTTGGAGATTTTTATATACTAAGGGGAATGGCCAGCATCTTTGAAAAATCTTGAACATCTGGATGCTGGGCCTTGTTTTTCAAGGGGCTTTGACCCTCTGCTGGACTGAGAAGCGGTTCCCTTTCTGAAGCTCACACTCTGCAGTCGCCTGCTTCCTTTAGCTGCTCTGCACAACCACTGTGCCCTGCAGGACACAGGCACGTGGGGCAGCTGCTCCTGGAGACCCTTGTGTGCCTGGTTCCTGCCTATGTGGCGGCTTCTGGCTTCTGGTGGGGAGCAGATCAGAGCCTGGGAAGGGCACTAAGCTCTCCGAGGGTCTAAACACAGGCGTCTCATTCAGTCGCTGGGTGACTATGAGATGTCACTTCCCTAACCACGCCACAGGATGCCCCACTTCAGGCCCGAGGGAGTGGCCCAGGCAGCATGTCCTTGTAAGGAAAAATGACCAGCAGCCTGAATGCCACCTGGCTGTGTTCGCTACCAGTCTATCTCTGGGCTGGGGGCTCGGTGGTGGTGGGGGCTCCTGGGGTACAGATCCTGCTGGAAATGATGGGGACAGAGATGCTGGGGAAGAAGCCCCACACTCCAAGTGGGAATGGGCTCCCAGAACAGCCTGGAAGTGGACCGTCAGGGATAAGGACTGCAGGAGGGGGCAGAAAGGGAACTGCATTTATTGAGCTCCTACTGTTGCAGTGCCAGGTGCATTACAAAGTAATCACGGGCCTATGAGCTAGTCCCTCCACTTCAGGAGTGCAATGGCTGAGCACAGTGGTAGTCAGGGGTCTCTGATCTTAGCAAGGATCCCCCTTGTCTCCTGTAGGTTCTTAGCCCCAAAGTGTCAAGGATCAGGCTGCCCTTGGGGCACATAGCTACAGACAGGGAGGGGAGGGAAAGGGGAAGCAGGGCTGAGTCTTAGTCTCCTGCTACTGGTAATGAGCTGTATGGTTTCTCTGAACCTCAGTTTCCTCCTCTGTAAAATGGGCTAATTCTACCTTCCCTCTAGTAGGATTGCAGATGTGGCTTGGAAAACATCTCTTTCTCTCCTCCCACACCTTCCCCTGCCCCTGCCCACCACGAGAATTGGAGGCAGCTTGCCCAACCCCCTGGGAGGTGCCCCCAGGCAGGGCGGGACAAGGCAGCCAGGAGGAGTCAATTAATGGGTGGAAAAGCAGAAGCAGCAGAGTTTCATTGAACCACTTCCTGTCCACCTGCCAAGCTGTCGCACACCACCTGCCTGAAACCGTGCTATTCCAGGACCATGAGGGGCTCCTGGAGAGCTGCTGAGCACCTCATCAGAACCGGGTAGGTCTGGGGACTTGGATACAGGGCCACAGGCAAGAAAAATGCACCAGTCCATTGTGATGGGTATGAGCCCAAACCCCAAGCTCTGCCCTTGGGTAAATTCTCACCTATCCGAGACTCAGTTTCCCCATCTGAGAGGTGGGAATAATAATAATAACAATAATAATGATGGCGATGTCTATGAAACTGTTGTGAGAAATGAAGGAGGAAATGCACGCATAGGCTTGGCTCAGAGTAAGTACTCAGTAAATGGCAGGTTGCTTCCTTGTCATTTAAAATGACAGAGAACCCAGCACAGAAGTCAGCACCAAATATGACACAGGACTGGCTTTCAGTTTTTAAAATCATTTCTATTACTAGTTATCATTTCAACAGCTACCCTGTTCCAAATGCTAATTATGTACCAGGAAGAGGTGTTCAGTCCCACATCTGAACACTTTCAAGCCCCAGGCAGCCCCTGATTTCTGGCATGGACACAGGCTTTCACAGTGGGAAGGGGGCTGAGCCTGTAAGGAGCACATCCCTGCCGCAGGTGCCATGGATGCTCAGCTCCAGCTGCCCTGTTGCAAAGGCAAGAACTCTGGCCCAGATTCTCTTCTTTCTCAAAGGAAGTGAAATCCAGATTCTCATGTGATACTTCCTATTTCTATATGGAGGATACACACACACACACACACACACTCACATGCACCATGCACCAAAATAAAGTGCATTTTCACACCAGATTCAGTCCTTGGACCCTAGGATTGTGACCTTTGCTCCAGTTCCCCTGGCCTTATGGATTTCCGCTCCCCAAGTTCCATGACCACAACCCCTGTTTCCTAATGATGCCGCTCAGAGCTCAGGACTTTTGCACATGCTGTTCCTTCAGTTGGGGACAACCTTCCCTACCTAAGAACTGATACTTGTCCTTATAATCCGAGCTCAAATGCTACCACCTTTCAGAAACCTCCTTGACTCTGACTCTTCTAGGTAAAAATCAGTGACTCTCCACCTACCCCACCTCAGTCCAGGCCCAGGCCCAGAGCTGTTATGTGTGTTTGTGTGTGTGCATGTGTCTGTGTGTGATACTGGGGACTGAGGGGAAGGGTATTCTACCACTGAGCTACATCTTCAGCTCTTTTTATTTTTTATTTTGAGACAGGGTCTCACTAAGTTTCCAGGCTGGCCTCAAACTTGCAATTCCCTTACCTTGGCCTCCCAAGTAGCTGGGCTTAGAAGTATGCACCACTGAGCCCAACTGAGAGTTCTTTTTTTAATAGACTTCCACTCTGATGTCCCATTCCAGTCTTCCCAGTTCGACTGTGAATTCCTCTAGCGTACTGCCTGTGACTTAATTTGTCTCATGCCCAACACATGGACAACGATTTGATCCCTTCTCCTTCATCCTCAAGCATCCATCTGCTCCTCCAGCATCCTACTGGCCCGTGGGGCTTGCTTTCTCTTAGCCTGAGCGAACAGAAGCGATCACACTGCACTCGGTGAATATTGATGGAGAAACTTCTTACTCTGAAGCATAAGCTCAGCAAAGGCCAGCGTGTCGCCTGTTTTAGTCATTTCTGTTTCTCCAACAGCTACCACTTATTAGCTGCTTAATAAATATTTGGTGAATGAATAAATACAAGGAAAATAGGGCAGAAAAAACTCTTCAGAGGCCAACTGGGCTGTCCTCCCTGCCCCTAAATTAGAGAGGAGACACCAAAGTCCAGGAAGAACTCTGTCTCTGACTCTCCCTCCGTCGCTCATATCTTTCCTCTCCTCTCTCGCTCTCTCTCTCCCTCTCTCTCCTTGCTTCATAGCTTTCATCCATCCTCACAAGACTGAAATTATAAATTCAGGGAGCCCCCACAGGAAGCGCATGGAGCTCTTCACTGAAACTCTAACAAGGATAATCCTGGGGAATGCTCTGATTGGCTCAGTGTATGTCACTTGAGCAGGGCTGGGTGACTCTGATTGGTCCATCAGGAAAATGTGCCTGCCCCTGTGTCTAACAGGGTGGAGCTTACCATCAGGTTGGTGGGGCAGGGTGGGTGGGCCAACCCACCCACCCAACCCACCAACCCACCCCAACCCCTTCCTGCTCCACCCTCCTGAAAGAGCATCTCCTATTTGCTTGTTTGTAGGTTGAGGTTCTGGCACTTGGGGATCCGAAAGGCATTTGTTCCACTACACGCTGCCTGGAATACCTTCTCCCAGCCTGTCCCAGCCAGCTGTGGCCAGTTGCTAACCCACCTCCTCCTGTGTGGGTCCTTGGCTGTCACTACTGCAAGTCTGGTACATCACTGGCTGATATCTTCACAGCTTTATCCTCTGGGACTCTCGGCCATGGTGGCTACAGTCTGTGGCCTCCTGGTCTTCTTGGCCCTGGGCCTGGTGCCTCCAGTTCGCTGCCTGTTTGTGCTCAGTGCGCCCACCTTAGGCACAAAGCAGGGCCGCCAGCTGCTCCTGTCCTACAGTACTGCCACCCTGGCCATTGCGGTGGTGCCAAATGTCTTGGCCAACATTCGTGCCACCGGGCAGGTGCTGAGATGCGTCACTGAGGGCTCCCTGGAGAGTCTGCTCAACACCACTCACCAGCTGCATGCTGCCTCCAGGGCTCTGGGCTCTGCAGGTGAAGCAGGCAACCGGGGCCTGACATTCGAGGCCCAGGGCAATGGCTCTGCCTTCCGGCTTCACATGCTCAAGGTTGCTCAGCAGGTCCTGGAGGATTTCTCTGGCCTGGAGTTCCTGGTGCGGGCAGTAGCACTGGGAACCCAGCAGGTGGTCCCAGGGCTGTTTATGCTTGGCCTCCTGGTGGAATCAGCCTGGTACCTCCATCGCTACCTGACAGACCTGCGGTTTGACAATATCTACATGACGCGGAGGCTGGCTCAGCAGCTGGCTCAGGCCCAGGCCACACACCTCATGGACGTCCCACCAGCCTGGCTGCTCCAGGTGGCCCAGCCAAAGCTGTCACAGGAGGAGCTGCTGAGCTGTCTGCTAAGGCTGGGACTGCTTGTCCTGCTCCTAGTGGCCACAGCTGTGACAGTGGCCACAGACTACATGGCCTTCCTTCTGGCACAGGCAGCTGTGAAGTGGGCTCAAAAGCTGCCCATTGTGCCCATCACACTCACAGTCAAGTATGATGTAAGTAAAACGGTGGGAAGATGGAAGTAGAGTTATTTCCTGAGAGAAAGGGGCAGGGCTTGTTAAGCCCTTGACTTGCATTTACGTCTTCCTTGCCTCCAAGTTGCAGCCCAGGGCCCTGGGGCATCATCAGTAAATGAACTCGTCTGACCCCACAACAGCCCTAGGAAGGGGATTCTGTTTTCACCTCTATTGCAGGTGAGGATACTGAGACCCAGACACCTTAGAGTGACTTGTCCCAAGGTCATGCTTCGTAAGTAGCAAGATGTCCGAGTCTCATTTTCCTCATTTGTACAGATCAACCTTCCTTAGCCTAAGCTATGTGAGCCTTAAAATGTGATAATGTCTCTAACAAGTTCCGTGCCTCATAAAAGATGTTTAATAGATAGTGGCTACTGCTAATAACTCACATTTGGATCTCCTACTGGATACAAGGCTCAGGAATGGTCTGCATCAGGAGTCAGCCAACTATGACCTTCAGGGAAAATCCAACACTGAGGTTTAGGTTTTGTCAATAAAGCTTTATTGGAACACAGCCTTCCATCTGTTTATGTACTAGTGGTGGCTGCTCTACAAAGGCACAGTTGAGTAGTCGAACCAGGGACTGTATAGCTCACAAAGCCTAAAATATTTACCACTTGAATGGCAATATATGAAATATTTAATATCTACTTACTATCAGATATATTTATTATCAGATCAAAGTTTGTGTTTCTTAGTCTTTTTTTTGCCACAATTATTTTATTTTTAATAGTGAGATCTCACACAAAATTCTATTCCATAAAACATACCAAAGCATCTGAGCCTGAGCTAATAATGTTATTAGCTTATATTTATCAAATGCCTACTATATATTAGAAAATTATTTCTCAAATTGGAAGAAATCAATTTAATCAGTTGAGGTGGTCACAGCTAGCTTCTTAAAATAAGCTAGAAAATGATCAGAGTATATTGTAGGTGATAACAGTCTGTATTGTTCTGTGAAGTTTTTCTTCATTAGCATACAGTCTGTGCTCAGGAAATTCTGTACAATGTATTTCTTACCATGGGACACAGGAAAGATATGTACCAGGTAATATTTTAAGTGTGTAACTGTGTTCTCTCATCTAAAATCTTAGAGAAAACCAAAGATGCCTTTAGCCAGACATGGCCGTGCACAGCCTATGTAGTTTGGGACCCACCTGGGACTGACCGCTGAGTGGGCCACGTTTAACCCATCTATGGCTTTGGGTTCCCCATCTTTTAAATGAGGGTCAGCTTCATAGAACTGTGCGTGTTTGATGGAATAGTATCTCCTAAGAATTCACAGGGCTCACCAAAAGTAAACGCCAGTTGGGCAGGATGGCACATGCCTATAATCCCAGCACTCTGGGAGGCTGAGGCAGGAGGAGTGAAAATTTGAGCCCCACCTGGGCAATGTAGCAACCTAGGGGGAGGCCCTATCTCGAAATTTTAAAAATATGAAAAGGACTGGGATCTAGCTCAGTGTGAAGACAAACAAACAAAAAGTAAATGCCAATGTTTTCTTTAAAATACTCTGCTCACAGACAGTTACAATAACATGTGTGGAACTTTTTATTTGGCAAAAGAGTTCCTCTCAGCCTGCATCACAATTGGTCCTCCCCAAACTCCAGAAACTAGAAGGTTATTTCTGTACCCATTCTGCCGATGAGGGCAGGGACCTGGGGCCGTCCATCCCTGCAAGTCTCCGCAGGTGGCAGGGAGAGGCAGTGGCGTATGGTCTCTGCTAACTGGGCTTTTCTCTTCTTGGAAGGCAGCATACACGGTCCTGGGCTTCATCCCCTTCCTCTTCAACTATCCAGCCCCTGAGAGCTCCTTCCTCTCCATGCACAAGGCCTACACATGGGAGCTCCGCCTCACCTCCCGCGACTGCCGGCTGCTGCCGGCCCAGCGACCTTGCACCGACTCAGCCCTGGCCGCCGGAGCCCTGCAGCTCCTGGCCGGCTCCACCGTGCTCCTGGAGACCTACGCCCGGCGCCTGCGGCACGCCATCGCCGCCTCCTTCTTCTCCTCCCAGGAGGCCAGGAGGGTCTGCCACCTTCATGCCCGGCTCCAGCGAAGATACAACCGGCGCCAAGGCCAGAAGCTGGCCCAGGGGGCTCCTTCCTGAACCTGACACCCAGGGCTACCTGCAGGCATCGAGCACGGAAAACCTTTGCAACAGACCTGAGTTGCAACCCTGGCTCTGTGACGCTTCCATGTGATCTTGGGTGTATCGCTGAACTTCTCTGAGCCTCTGTTTCTACATCTGCGCAATGACTGCGTGGTGACAATCATCCCGAACCACTTTCCACAAGGGAATGTGCAAGGAGATACTGAACTTGCACGGCCTGGAAGGACGATGCAGGGGCAAAGTAAGAAGTGGAGACAGTTCGAGGCTACTGCAGGCTACTTGGAGATCAGTCCGGTCTCCCACCTGCTCCAGCTGCTTTACCTGTTAGGTGGAGACTCAGCCTCATGAATTCATCTGCATGCTTCTGGAACTTATTTATATGCCCCTGAATTCGCTGAACTTATTTATAACTTTTTATTTTATAAATAAATATATTTATTAAATCTTAGATGAAATGTTAATTCTCTGCTTTCAATTCCTTCAGGGGCTTGCCATCTAGGATTATCAGAGTTAACAAATAAAAATAGAGGATGCCCAGGCAAATTTGAATTTCAGATTAACAGTGAAATACTTGTTCACTATTCCTTGACTCCTAGGTGTGTATCTGACTCCTGGGTCAGCCACATGCAACCAATTGTGTGATCTTGAGTTCTCCCATTGTCAAAAGAAAGAAAGTTACAACAAATGTAATTGAAGTTCTTGATTGGCATTTATTTGAGATATTAGGGTCAGGCAACATCTCATTCTATAAAATGGAGTAAATGTCCCCATGGGCTGATAAAGAGGCTCAGAAAAAGGGCTGTAGAAAGAAGGAACAAAGAACAAAAAGTAGATTGGTGCATAAACCCTATTTAATTGTTGTAAAACACCTAAACTGGTTTTTTTCAAAAGGGGTATGAATTTGCAATCTCTTCATCATTATCTTTGCACTTAACAGGAGAAAGTTGTCTTGCTTGGTCAACCTCTGGCCTTTCTGCAGAATCTGAGCAATAGGTAAACAAGAAAATGAAACAAATATAAAACTCTAAGTTAATCTAATTTAAAAAGAACTAACGTGGGCCAATTTGAATGCTGTTATGGTTTAGATCTAGAAAGTCCCACAAGTCTCATGTATTCAGAGATGGGGTTTTCAGAGACAGTGATTGGGTCATGGGGGCACTGTAGTCATCAGTGGATTAACCCACTGATGAGTTCACGGCTAAAGGTGCTGTTAGGAGGCGGAGCCTGGTTAGAAGTGAGTCTCAGGTAGTGTGTCCTGGAAGGGTGTATTCTCGACCCTGATCCCATCCTTCTCTCTCTGCTTCCTTGCTGCCATGAGTTAAGCAGCCTTCTACCACCATGCTGTTTCTACTTTGGAGCCACCTGACCATGGACTGAATCCTCCGAAATCAGCCAAATTAAACCTCTCCTCCTATAAGTTGTGGATATCAGGTATTTTGTTCCAGTAACAGAAAACGGACTAGTATAGATGCCCTGTCACCTAAAGTTTAATTACAAGTAAAAGAAATTTCTGTAGACATTTTAAGCCAGAGAGGATTTAATGCAGAAAATTGGGTCCTTCCTGGGCTGGAGGAAAAGGCCCCAGAACCAACCCAATACAGATCTCTCCTCTGCTAACATCAGAAATGTATGAAATCAGGAAGCCACAACTCAAAGTGTTGGCCCTAAGGGTGCACAGTCTTGGCTATGTCCATGTATGAAGAAGATATCTCTGCAACCAGCACCATGATGCACAGGTGAGGTGAGCCCAGCAGCATGTGGACACCCTAGCTCAGTCTCTCAATCCCCTGAGCTAGTGCCAGACCCTAACATCTCTGTTTCTGCAGCCACCAGGGCCTCCAGCAAGGCTGCTGCACTGCATACTCTAGGATTATGCCATCCACATCATACTCCAAGTGAATGACTTTCCCCATTCTGTGTGCAAGATGCCTTCTAGCCTGCAGGACCACATATTGTAGCCTGGCTCTCAGGACTCAGCTTGCAAACAAAGATAGTAACAGCAGAGATTAAGCCTCTGCTTGCTTACAGGTTCCTTAACTCACAGAGGTGCATCTGATTGACAAACTTGACTTACACTGGAACCCCAGCTGCAAGGGAGTCAGAAAAATGTAATTTTTAGTTACCAACCACTTTAGTTTGGGAAGACATACTTAAATAATGACTGAAACTTTTGGACTGCTACTTATAGGAGACATACCTTTTATTTTGCACCCCTCCTCATACACAGGCATACTCAACTCAAACTTTTATTTTTGGTACTGGGGATCGAACTTGGGACCTTGCGCTTGCCAGGCAGGCGGCAGAACCACTGAGCTAAATCCCCAGCCCTCAACTCAAACTTTTAATTAAACTACTTATTCTTAATTTGTATGACACATCCTGATATTTTCTATCCTAGCCAATTCTGTCTACTCTATCTTATGCCATTTAATCATATATGATTCTATTTTATTCTAGTTCATTAAGAAAATTACTGGTAAGGGCTTACCAAATTAAAATCCCTGTTGAGGAGAGTGGGTTGGGTATTAGAGGAAAGTAGATTGGATGTCAGCCTGCCCTAGGGACGGACACTTTTGATATGTGCAACAAGCAGCATAGAAATAGCAAAGCAAGAGAGTGCTGGGAGTGCAGTTGCCTGGAATATGCAATGTTGAAACACAGAGGTAGAGAAAGAAGGTCTTAAACAGTTTTTTTAAAAGAACCTTAAATTTTTCCTGAGAAACTCAAAAAACAAAATGTGCCTCCCCAGTGCTCTGTGTTTTTGTAATAATGTTTATTTGAATGCTAGGACCTAATTGGGGCCCATGAAAGCTGATTTGTCAATCATGTGTGATTCCAGGGGAAGGACACACAGGTAGAGCTTTCACCCAATGCTTTCCATCCAGGGCTCTACTGAAACTGATATGCAAAGATACATGTTAGCAGTTGTGTTTTCAACAGAATGGAGAAGAGAAATGCTCCAACCTGTCCTTTCCACCCCACACCCCTCAGCTCAGGGGTATTTATAGGCTGTGAGTCACCACCTGCAGTGAGCTGAGCCACACTGCAGCCACTGTTCCTCCCACTCCCCAAGGTGATTGTGTTCATCTAGGAGGGCACTGCTGGCCTCTCAAGACACCAGCCCCCACTGAGGCGCCCTCTCCCACAAAGCTGCCCAGTTCCTTGGTCACACAATGACACATCCACACATTTCTTAATTACACAAATAATATATAAATCCTTCTCCTTATGAAAAACAGAACATTATAGATAATAGTAGCTAGTGTTTGTTGGGTGCTTGTGATGTGCTGGGAATGTGCTAGAAAATGTTTTATAACTGGATTTTTAAAAGCCCCATTACCAAGTTCTATCCCTGATACCAAAAAACAAAACAAACAAACAAACAAACAGCCCCATTATTAGTGTTTGCTGATGCCTGTGGTGGGAAAGTTCCCACTGGGGATTTTGAGCTACCACCCAATGTTCCTGGAAGTGGATGGACAGGGGATGCTCACAACTAGCTCCCAGGAGCTGGGGTGAGCTGGCTCCAGACCACTGCTAGATGTATCCAAAGTTCTGCTAAAAGCTGTATGCACATCGTGGTACAGTGGCACCTCCGTTCACGAACTCAAATCGCTTCATGATTCTGGTCACAAACTGAACTGGATGAGAACTGAGTTAAATTTCCCCAAAAGATCAACATTGAACCTAATCATTGAATTTGATTTGGTTCTCATCTGTTATAGCTTGTGTCTAGATGTCCCCCGATAAAACCTCATGCAGTCGTAGGTGAGGCTTTTTTTTTTTCCAAGAAGTGGCTGAATCTAGAGTCTGTGATGCTAGGATTAAGGGTGTATGATTATTAAATCAGTAAGCTGATTGGTTTGGCACTGCCCGAATCCCTGTAGCCTGGAAACAATACAAGGCACAGAAAGAGGCTTGTTTTCCCGTGTTGCTTCCCTTGCTTGCTTGCTTGCTTGCTTTTGCTGTCTTCTACCTGCCATGAACTGGTTCTCCTCTGCGATGCCCCTCTGTGGTGCCACCCTGCCTTGGAGCTGGTCAGTTATGGACTGAAACCTCTATAAACTGTGAGCTAAATAAACCTTTCCTCCTTTAACTTTGAGCATCGGATATTTTGTCTCAGCAATGAGAAAAGTAGCTAAGACATCATCCAACTTGGTTTGTGACCAGAATTGTGGAAAAGAATCAAGTTCAGAGGGCCAGGGATTTAGCTCAGTGGTTCCGCTGCCTGCCTTGCAAGCACAAGGACCTGAGTTAAATTCCAGGTACTAAAAAAAAAGAATCAAGTTCATGTACTGAGGTACCATTGTATTTGAACTTCATAAAAGTACAATATCTGAGATAGATGATATTATCATCCTTCTTCATGAGATAAAAATACTGAGATTCCAAGGAGTTAAGTATTTTGCTTAAAATTACCCAGCTCCTAAGCTACAGAGCCAGAATTTAAATCCAAATAGTATGGCTGTCAGAATCTGTGGTGTTAATTGGTCTCCCAAGTAAGGGTAAAGGCCCCTTTTTGACTACCATACTCAAATCTTGTAGCTTCCTTTTTGCCCCCACATGTAACCACTATCATCAGCTGGATGACCTACTTTTCAGATATTTATTCTATATATACATATATGTGTGTAAATATAATATAGAAATATGTCTATTATTTTTGGGGTTTAAATGACGTCATACTATAGCAATAGTTCTACAACTTGTTTTCTCACTGAATAATATGCCTTAGCCTTACCACATCCTCTCTCAGTGTTGAAGAGATCATTATGTCATGAGTTGTTTAGCAATTCTATTGGCAAGTGTCTGTTTTTATTGTAAACAACACTGCATGGACATCTTTTTACATGCCTCCTTGTACTCATGAGAAGCTTTCCTCAGAATCTATGTAGAACTTCCCAAACCCCATAAGTTACTTCTGAAGTTGTAGTTTTTAAGAGTGCATTAGCTGGTGTGGCAGAATAATATCCAAAATAGTCCCAGTCACCCCCACCGCCTGGTACTCCTACCCTTGTGTGGTTCCCTCCTCTTGAATGGACCTGGAATTGCTTCTAGCAGCTAATTCAATATGACTCTCTCTCTCTGTGTTTCTCTCTCTCTCTCTCTCTCTCTCTCTCTCTCTCTCTCTCTCTCTCTCTCTCACTTCCTTCCTGGTTTGTACACTTTGCTCAACCAAGCCACCATGTTGGTGAGGCCTGCACAGAGGAAATGCAGAGTGACTTCTAGCAGCAGCCAGATGAGAACGAAGCCCTGTCCTGCAGCCCACCAAGATTGTTTCCTGCCAACAACTTTTGCAGTAAGCTCAGATGTGGTTGCCTCCCCAGATGGATCATCTGTGGGGACCCGATCCCTGGCTGGCACCTCAACTGTGGCATGTCAGAGCCCCTGAAA